AGCGACTTAGAATCAGACCACAGAAATAAGTTTTTTTTTTCGACTTTCGTACAAAGACACACCGAAACACAAATTTCTTAGGGAGCAGACAACTTGAAGCCTTAAAGTTGCCTAGTGAAAGCGTCGTGCCACAATCCACAGAACGGGTCGGGAAGTAGACATAGTCCTATGTACCGAGCAAATAGACATAAAAAGTTTGTTACCTTTTTCTTTGATACTTTGCACTTTGTGAGTTTTTATTTTATTTTCTTTTATACATAATTATGTGTTATCACACCCGTTGAACTCAGCTTGAATTACGGCCCCAGCCCCTGTTTGATCTCGTCTGTCTAAGATCAATTCACAACGTGGGTAGGCAGACTGGAGATCAGTGCAGTTACCCTGGTAACCAGGCGTTGGAAGCAGGTTGGGAACGGCGAGGCTGGTATCAATCTAACCAAAGGGTTAGAACGTCACGTTTGGAGCAGCGACACCCGGACGGAGCAGCGAGGAGCGAACTGCTGACGCCGCGGCGAAGACGTCACATTGGTGTATTCTATTTATCATCACTTGTGATCATTCACTTAAAAAATACGGCAGTTGTTGTGTTTAAAAAGATAATTGCAAATGGAAATGTGGGTCACAAGGTTTCTTTTCTTTAAATCGTGACGCAATTAAACATCGTAATAATTCATGTATCCGAATGTTTTCAATGTTCATACAACGCTCATATGTGATATACAGAATACCACTGTGATGTCTTGCGTCATTTGATCTGAATTCTTACCAATCAGTGTTTTGCTTTCGGTATGATCAACGATTGCAGGACTACTGGAACGATCTCACACTTTCAGCTTCTAATTTTCACTTCTGAAACTAGCGAACCATTTCTGAAAGTAACCTTATACTTAAAATCAGGAAGCGGCTGTTGAAATTTCCGCTGCACATAATGAGGGCTCAGAAAATCCGTTACTCACAGGACACACTGGGGGCAAGAGGAAAACTATGTTTTACATACTTGATAGGCTTCAGAAAATGGATGGCCGAACAGGGTTTAGAGTCAACGAAAAATTATTTAGAGCTGCAAGCGACAGGAAATTGTGGAGAGCCGTGATCGCTTACATCCTGAGGGGATACGCTGCATAAAGAGAGGAGAATCTCAACTGTGGCACAATCACCATAAACAACATATTTTTTGCTGTCTGTACAGATCATCTGATTAAAATACATCACATTTTTCTTTTATTTTCATTTTTAGCGTAGATAAGATTTGAAATTCTAATCCATCCAGGAATCTTTCAGAAATATACGTTAATATATTCCCTTTACGAATATATCTTAAATTGTAGTCCTGAGTTCAAACTCCACTTATTATAATAATTCTGCAAATTTTAATTCCAACCAATTATAATACTTGAAATGCCATAACATCGAATACTGTTGATAGTCAGTATTTGCTTTCTTTGGATGGAAAGCGCGATCAACAGGTCGTAACATGAAGTCTACGGGATGATATTGACGTTGCATTTCCAGGGTTGTGTTTTGTGGGTTTGGCTGCAGGGAAGGGTTAGGGAACTCTTCAATTATCTTATAGATAGTCAATCGGCTTTAAATCTGGTGAGATTTCGTGGCATTGAAGGAACTGGATATCAACCGAATATAACTGGAAAAAAATTCCTGTTACCCTCAAACGATGAGAATTATGACTTGATACTAAAATAAACCCGTATCAGCAAGACAAATGCCTAACATAATGGATTACAAATCATCAGGAATAACACTTGCGTATATTACGCTTGTTCCTCCCAGAATCCAAGTTGACACGTCTTTCCTCCGCTTCTAATAAAAAAAGAATAAGAAAAAGAAATCATCCGTTTCGTTGATGTCCTTTTATGTAGTAGATGTAGAGTCCCAGAAACGACACAGCACACAACACGCGAGAAGAGGCAGGGAACAGATCAAGTAAAGATGCGTGTCTGTCAGAATTAATAGAGAAATTAGTAGGAATCACTGCTTTGATATTAAGAACAAGGGCTTTAAAAAAACGAAAAAAAAAACAATTATTACAAGAATTATAAAGGAAGAAACACTAAAAGAAATATCGTTTTAGTTTGTGGAAAATAAATCATATAGGCTGGACTTGGCTTATCATACCCAATAAATATGCCCCTTTCATTATTAAAGACAAACCACTGTCGTTCAGGAATTGTATTAATTCAGCGAACACGGTCGCATTTCTTTCCATAAAATCATCATCCCCCCAGCCTGGTCGACTTTTCAAAGGATGATGTCATGGAGTTATTGTATTCTGAGGTAGCCTAAAAACTTCGTCTCCCATAATTTATATCTCGATTCATTCCAGTCAAAATAAAATCGTGATCTGGGCTCATAACCAATGTTACAAATTCATGACGGTCGTCTTCGAGTATAGAATCCAAAGGTTGGCAGTGAATATTTCGGTGACAGTAGGAAAGCGTAATTCAAGTTAGCAGTGGATATCGTAGCAGAGCGTAGTTCTTCCTTCTGTCATCTTCGCATGACAAGTTGACACTGGTCATTCCGGTAGGGTAAACAAAGATGGCCGCCTTTATACACGACGGATACAATGTTCTGCGGCTTCTGATTGGTTAACCTTCTATTGGTGGACTATAAAGGGAGTTAAGTCATTTTCACTAACTCACTAGTTACATATATATACACAAAAAACAGTAACAAGTCAGGATGCATATACAAAAAAAAAAAAAAATGAAAACACACAAACCAGGAATAACTTGAATGCGAATATTATAACTAATTACCACACCTGCTTACCACATAGAGAGAATGCTCAGTCAAATAAGTGAAACATATTTATATACAAAATACAGAAATAAATATATATGAAAGAATCTGTCTATATTTCTGAGATGAGATATTATGTACATTATTTATATTATTGGGACTATTGTCCTCATTTTTGTCGCCATATTTATTACAACTTTTCGGCCGTTGTACGCTCTGGCCTTCTTCAGGTCGTTGGAATGTCGAACTTAACCCTTTATTTCGCACTCTGTGGGATCTGGTTGAGACCATAGACAAGGAACACCATTGGAAAATTCGTAAACTTAAGTAATCAGCACATATGCTAGGACACAAAAAATCTACTGAGCTGACCAAGCATAGAAATGAATACAATATGTGTGTGCGTGTGCATGCCTGTGTCAGTATATATATATATATATATATATATATATATATATATATATATATATATATATATATATATTATATATACGTGTGTGTGTGTGTGTGTGCTGAAGAACTAATGGATTTTATTTTTTTTAATCCGTCATTTTTTTATTACTCAAAATGTTATTTTTAGTGAATATAAGTGTTTGAGTAAAGGCTCCTTTCTTAAGCAATGTTTATTTCGTGTACGGTCTTGCGTATCTTGTCAGGCCGGTAGATGAAATAAACACAAATAAAAAGGAACGTCTACTTTAACACGGGTATCCACTAAAAGTAATTTTGAAATAATACATGGTATATATGTATGACATATATATATATATATATATATATATATATTATGGTAAAAAAGGAAGAACAGTAAGATATGTAATCTGGTGTTCTTATTGATATTTTTATTTTTACAAAACACTGCACAATGTAAATTTACAGAGCATAAATATTATAAATTAACTGATGTAAAAATATGTATTCATCGCTACACAGGAATCACCATGTTTCAAAAACAGAAAACAAAAACTTCAAATTCAATTATATTAAATTAAAAGCATTCGTTCTGTTTCATCTTCAAGCGAATTTTGAAATTATTTGGACTATCTTCGTAAAATAAACACATCAAGTATATACAACTTTTCCATATAATAATCTTTGTGTTTATTTACGAAGATAATCTTTGTGTGAAACGCGTTAAGAACAACAGCTTGATTAGTGTACATATGTGCATGCGTGTTTGTTAATATTAAAAACATTTAAAACTCGTACTTATCATTTTTTCTGAGTTCGATATTTGTGTAGCAATAAATCCAGCAGAAGGAAAAACGCAAAAATAAAAATAAAATATCTAAACTATATTCTTCATTTTGTTAATAGTCGAAAACAATATTGAAATTCTTATTTGAAGACGAAAATGGACTACGTTTTATAAGTATTCAATAGATAAAAGTATATCTGTGTTTTTACTTTTCTCAATTTGTCTGTTGAAATGTTCACTTCCAACTCCCTATGTACTTACAAAGCGTTAAAATAAAATAGCAGAAACTCATAATTTGAAGATAAAATGCATATAAAAAAGCTATCAATGTCGTTGTGATATTCCTCGCTTTTGATTTTACTTTGTATCATAAATATTTTGTGTTTGTTCAGCGTACGTTTTTATTAATGACTTTCGTCTAACTTGCGAAAAAAGCTTTTAATTTATAATAAAAATGCAATGAAATCTACAGGCGTTGTAATAGTAAAAGATTTTATGCTGAGCAATACGGACTGTTGTTTAAATAATCAAATATTTCAACCAATTATGCTTCTATATATACATGGCGGTCAATAAAAGATATAAATTTTGTGTGTGTGCGCGCAATGGAGTCTACAGGCACATATATAAACATATATGTATATATGCATGCTGATAACTTAGTGAAATATTAAGAACATACACAATTTAACCCTTTGAGACCCTGCGTTCCAGAACAATTTTAACCATTCTGCGTGAGCTCCTGAGTCAAAATTCGAAAATAATTGGTATGTCATGTTTCACGGTAGATATAAAAATAGTCACAAGTGTTTATCCACTGTTCACCCAGTAGCTGGGCGTTAATCATTTATCTCTACCATTGTTCAATCGGTGGCTGGGCATTACGTCATTTTTCTCTTCCACCGGTAAAGCGGTGGTTAGGCCTAAAAGGGTTAACCTAATAAACATTTATAAATATATATACACGTGTTTAATATAGAAATATGCGTATATTGGATGTTTGCTTACTATCAGCATTGTAAGTGTCACCAAAAAGGCTGCGATGGATAAGGTCCTTCCTATCCAACATCCACAAGTACGATGGTAACTAACTATATATATATATATATATATATATATATATATATATATATATATATATATTTATTCCAAAATTGTAACATAAATATTTATAAAATCACTACAAAAATAACCATTTTGTTTCGACACTTCTGGTGTCTTATCAAGTGATGGTTTGAATGTAGAATAAAAGCATTCAACACTATCACTTGAAGTGTTAAAACAAAATGTCTATTTTTGTAGTGACTTATATTTATTTTATAATTTTCGAATAAATATTTATATTTGTTTACTCAGTATTGAGTACTCTTTTAGGAATAGTATTTATTGGTTATTGGAATTTATTCCGTATATACTAATCCTATACTTGGGTATATATATATATATATATATATATATATATATATATATATATATAATTATTTTCAATTTTATAGTTATTCATATCCTGCGTATAACTATAAGGACTCTCAGAATCTGAAACCCTTGTTCAAATGGCAAGAACCAGTCAAGATTCTTGTAGAATGCTTGTTCTGCATATGATTCGAGTTATTTTTTAAATACTTACATTCACACAAATTGACGCCGCTCCATGTTAAAAGATTCTAATGTCTACCAACTGTGGGATCAAAAGTCTTATTAAAGAAAATATGCCTTCGGACAGCAATGGCTTCTTGATCATTTTCAAAACACACTTGACTTGAAATCGGTTTCCAAAAATGTCAATATAAGTTCTATTAATATTGAAAGGCGCATTATTTTTGTTAAGACTTTTGATGTGTTGGTCGTGAAGATAATAGTTTTTTTTTTTACTCAAATATATATATCCAGTAATTATAAGGTTTATAGTTAAAACTATAGATGTTGTTCTCTCCTAACCCTGGAAGCAATAATAACTCAACGTAAAAAAAGCCCTTGTGTCACATCTCGCCTTGTGGAGAGATAACGGACAAATACCATTTTTAATCGTTGATACGTAAACTTTATGAATTCAAGCGCAGTACTAGATTGGCAAGGTCTTATCGTTTTGCTGTTGAAATGGCAAGACGTAACCGTAAGTTCTATGCTAGCATATTCTTCGCTTGCACTTCCCGATTGTGGAACTACCTTCCGGCTTCTTTACAACTTTGATCTTCAAAAATTTAAATGTAATATCATTCGTTATTTTCTGCTTAATTCTTGCTTTTTTTAAATTCTCACTCTCTCTTTAATAATGTTTTTTTTTTCATTTTATATTGTCAGACAATTAAAAAAACCCTGCGTCTTAGTGGTTTTATTGCCTTACTTGATTAAAAAAGGAGCCTCCATACACTTTGAACATCTGATTTAGCCTCGGGAAGTTTTATTCTGGAGCGCCGTGTCTTTACAAGAAAGCAAAACGAAATTACTTTACATTCTGTTAAAAACACACCTTTTCTGTAATCTTCAATAAACCAGCTCATCTATATCTTTGCAAATGTTTCTGTATTTAAATTTGTGTGTGCGCATGAGCGTGCATGTATGTGTTTGTGAGCGTGCATGCGGGAGTCTCTATACGCGTGTGTATGTGTGTACGTGTTTGTATATGTGTGCATATGTATATACGAACATACGTGTATGTGAGTGTGCGTATGTACGTGCGTGCAGGAGTGTCTATATGCGTGTGTACATGTGTAATGTGTTTGTATATGTGTGCATATGTATATACGATGCGTGTATGTGAGTGTATGTGCGTTGTCTATATGCGTGTGTATGTGTGACGTTATTGTATATGTGCATATGTATATACGAGCATGCGTGTATGTGAGTGCGCGTATGTGCGTGCGGGAGTGTCTATATGCGTGTGTATGTGTGTGACGTTTTTGTATATGTGTGCATATGTATATACGAGCATGCGTGTATGTGTGTGCGCGTATGTACGTGCGTGCGGGAGTGTCTATATGCGTGTGTATATGTGTGACGTGTTTGTATATGTGTGCATATGTATATACGAGCATGCGTGTATGTGTGTGCGCGTATGTACGCGCGTGCGGGAGTGTCTATATACGTGTGTATGTGTGTGACGTGTTTGTATATGTGTGCATATGTATATACGACCATGCGTGTGTGTGTGCGTATATAGGCGTGTGTATATGTGTGTATGTGTTTGTTTGTATATGTGTGCATATGTATATACGAGCATGCGTGTATGTGTGTGCGCGTATGTACGTACACGCGCACGTGCATAGGCATGTGTATTTTTGTGTATATTTTTCTGTGCGTGTGTGTGAATATTCACGCTTCTCTTTTGAAAATGAAAAGAAAAAAATTCTCTATCGGCTAATCTTTCGTCATCGTATGTTTTTATGCAGTAAATATTGACTTTTAATGCCTTGCAAGTCTTGATCTCCATAAAAATATAGTCACAGGATATAAACCACCAAATAATATTGGCTTTATCGAGTAATCTTCTTTCTTTGACTTACATTGTTACAGAAACTTCCTTTCTTTTTCTTTTTAACTGTCTCCCCCCCCACCCGACTATTGCTTTTCTTTCTCTTCGCTTCCTCTCTTTCTTCTACTCTCATTTTTCGCTTCCTCTTTCTATTTTTTTTTTACTATTCCTTTACAATTCTCTTGATAAAATTTCACGTCGTTCGGCTTCCATTTTTCTCTTCGTCCATTTTCTTCCCCGTTCCTATCTCCTCTTTATTTGTTTCTCTACTGTTAACCTCTTCCTTTATAATACTCCTCGATATCTATTCTGATATCTCTTCCTCGTCTTCTTGCTTCTTTCCTTTCTCCTTCTCTCCTTTTTCGATTGTTGCTCTCCGCTTTTAGCTTTTCTCTTTCACAACATCCATTTTCTTCTCTTTTCTACATTTTCTACCAATCCCGCCATCTATTATTTAAGTTCCACATAAATCAGTACAGCTACAAAGTCATATCCGGCCAGTTTCCAACAGAGAATCATCGGTCAAACTGGCTTGTTAACCATAACTCTACGGCACTTAGTTCAGGACTTTTTTTTATGTGGTGTCCTTTCAGGATGTAGGTGATCATGGATCACACATCTCCACAGAATCGTTTTTTTTTTCATCTCAGTGTATTACCATAACTTCTTGAGATAGTGGAATGGTTTCCTCTTTTCTTCTCTATTATTTGGTGGCATACAACCAAGTCAGGTTATAAAACCAGTTCCCGTACGATAAGGGAAGGTAAACAGCATCAATCATGGTCAATACCTCGATAGATGACCGCTTGGGAATACTAGGTGCTATCAGCTTAAATGTGCGGGTGATTGAATGGATAATGGCTCAGATTTGGAAATCAGAGAGTCGAGTTCTAATTCCAGTTGTGTTCGTTATAATCACATATATGCAAATAACTTTGAGAAAGGTATGAATCTACATCTCCTTTTCCTTCTATGGATTAATTATTAGGAAATGTATCAGCAAATCCTTATTATCTCAAATAAGATTTATACAATCTAAAAATATTTTCTGACTTTTAAGAAACTGTAAAAGGTAATACATAAAAAACAAATTAGTTAATCTCTATTGTTTCGAATTCAGAGTAGGACTTCTTCCGAGATTGGTTACCAGCCAAGGCTAGAAGGTTCACTGTATCCTGATATTTAATATATAACTAAGAGAAGATATAGATTCGTGCTTTTCCCAAATATATATGTGTGAAATTGAAAGCAACTGACAAGGACAAAATTTTAGCTTGCCTTGCTGTCTCTATATTCCGGTGTTAATTAACCGTTAAACTAATCGCACTTACTAAACTTAAACGAGAACATTAATTGTTAATTGTTGCATTCATTTAATGAAGGTAGAAATCGCGTCGCAGCACAGATCTATGTCACTCATATTTATAGAAAATAAACATTAGGTCAGTTTCGATAATCTTTATATATATTTTCGACTCGCATCGGTCTCGCAAAAATACAAATATCTCCCTAAGATTGTTATATATTCCATATTTGTCTAAAACAATTTATTTATTTCCCACTAGTCTTTGAGACACTTTCTCGTCGCGTTATCTCATGATTGTTTTATCTGAGATATCTTTCAAAGGCTCCGATGCCATAGCCTTTGGTTGATGAAGTTTCTTAGAGATGCAATGAAAATACCAAGTGTTTTATATTTCTTTGTGAATATATCTCCATCTATCTATCTATCTATCTATCTATCTATCTATCTATCTATCTATCTATCGCAGGATCATGCTCGCGCACACTCACACACATGAGTGCTTGTTCATCGGAAGAATAGAGGAAAACTGAAATAGATATGTCTATTGAATTCAGATTATCTTTTCGTGGAACTGTGATATCGCCATCAAAATTGTAGACGATCAAAGGAAGGCAAGATGAAAGAAACGATAAGAAATATTTGATTCGCTATCAGAAATGAATGCATTAGAAATCATTTATGCTTATCTTAGATCAAATCTCGAGTCACGTAGAAGAATATTTCATGGTTTCTTGATCTTACGATTTGAAACCGAATCTCTTTTCCGATGCGTGAGCTGACTTAGGATCAATACAAAGTAACTGAATGACCGCAAATAATACAAGTTCTTATTATATTGCTAATACAAATGATAATGACTTTGACCAGATGAAATATATGCAATAGATAATTGACTGATACAGTTAATATTTTCCTACGTTGACCGCAGATAGAATTAGACGTCGAATATAGATAAAAACAAAGATAACAATTTATAGATAATATCAGAAATTATTAACGATGAAAATATGCAGAAGGAGTAGTATTTTTTGTATGTTTTTTTCTATGTGCCGCGTACTTCAGGACGTAGACGATCATCGCTCGCCACAACATTCTATCTTTCGTGACGGTTAATTGCATTCCTCCTTTTGATAAAAATCCCTATCACGTTCTGCCATCTATTTATACATGCTAGTCAAATATATGACCCGCTACCCCATGCTAGCTATCTTACCCTCTATATGCCTTGTGAGGGTTAAGTTTTCAAAGTTTTCTTCTTACGTTATGTGTCCAAGAAATTTCAGCTGCTATTTTCTGATTCTAAGTAACAGTGTTAGTTTTGGTAGCATTTTCTTTATTCGTTGCATATTCACTTTGTCCATAGGATTCCCAGTATCCTTCTGTAAACCCAATTGCGGCTTCCAATTTACTCGTCATCTGTGGTGAAATTGTCCAACATTTGAAACCATGAAATATGATAGATACCACATAGCGATTCAATATTATTTCTTTATTTCTAACGAAATAGTCTTGCTCTTTGTTTGTTTAGATTTTGAAAGGCATCTTTCACTACCCCAATGCGCTCTTAGATTTCGGTGTCATATTTGCCATCTTCTGTTATAACACATCCTAGATATTTAAACTTGTAGTTCTAGTATAACAGACGAAAATACAAAGAGTTACAGTAAAACGGCCAAGAATACATTTTTATAGTAAAATGACCAGCAATGCATTTTTATGGTAAAATGACCAACAATATATTTTTATAGTAAAACGGTCAAGAATACATTTTTATAGTAAAGTGGCCAACAACAGATTTTTATAGCAAAATGACAATCAATATATTTTATAGTAAAATTGAAGACATGTCATACATTTTCAAAAAGACAAAAATGAAAACAATTTGCTATGATTAATATAATTTATTGTAAGAAATAGATTTGGCTGTTTTTTGTTCAGCTTCAAGCAGCTTACACCAGATTATCGTCTGTCACATAGTAACAACAAAAACGCAAAATGTTATTTTCTAAATGTCAGGGTCCACAGACAGTACCGATAAAAGTACAGATAAAAGTTTACTGTTGAACAATCTTAACTTGTCAATAAAATAAAGGTGTAAAATCATTCTAGATATTTTCCTCAAAAACGTTTGCTTACCGATGTAATATTGTATTGAGTCATCTGTGTCGAGTATGCGATGAAAATGTGAGAGAATGAAAAGATATCAAAACTTTGTCCGGGAATGAGAAATCATCGAACTTGAATGTGTAGGACATTTCTGTGATTTGTAAAAAGCGGATGAAGAGTTTTGCATATGATTAATTGAATTAAAGCAATAAAAAAGAAGTGGATCAATTTAAACATCGGCTGTATTGCTATTGCAACGAAAACCAGTTTCCATTTAATGACCAGATTGAAATTTGGGCCTCATCCAAAGAGAATATTGACATTTCCTAGTTTAGATAAATAGTGAAATACTGTCTTATAATGATTTACAAACAGTGATATTATTTAATTATCTATATTTAAATTACAGATAAATTTGCCCTTTAGGGCCAATAACACTTGCTTAATTCCTGAGCAGTTACAATAATTGTTTTGATTTTCTTCTTGATTTCAGTTTTGAAATACAGTTTCTACACAGAATTTAGTTTAAAGACATTTTATGTTAAATTAAGTAGCCAAATTGGCAAGAATATGGAAGACCAAAATCAGCTTTCAAACCAAGTAAAACTGTAGAAATCACTGGTAGTCCTCATTCTCCAACATGTCTATAAAACATGGACACTGTTGGCAGAAACAGAGAAGGATCCAAATGTTTGAGAACAAACGCATGAGAAAACGCCTTGGCATCGTTTACTGGAAACATAAAACCAATGCGGTTGTGCGGAAAAGGTTTTGAAATTTTGTGGGCCACCAGGAACATCTCGCCACTCTCAAACGGAGAGAAATGGCATAATTTGTACATATTAAAAGGAACGACAGCCTGTGCAAGACAATCGTGCAAGGCACCGTTAAAGGTGAATGTATGTGAGGACGCCAAAGCAAAAAAAAAACTGATTGGACAATGTCAAACAATGGATAAGTATGACGATACTAGAATTGCTAATGCCTGCTGTTGAAAGACCTTTCTGGGGGAGATTCAGTGTGGTTTCTGCATTCCGATCCCACCTACAATTACAAAAAGTCAAGAGGATGATGGTGATCATCATAATCATAATGATGATAGTTTAGGTTGGTGGATTTGAGAACATTTCAACCTATGCTTCTTTTTATTTTATATCTTTTTTTATTCTTTCTTTTAATTCAAATGATATTGCTAACATATTAATTATTATCAAGAATATTCCCATAATTTTTAATGCTATATCTAAAAATATTAATGTATTCATTCTAGGTATTTTAGAGTATTGTATGTTAACTTTTACTCAGTATATATATATATATGTATTTAAATAATTTTTTGTGGTAAAGACTTTAATAATAGCTAGGAAAAGACCAATTTTATGAGGCATTTTTAAAAGAAAAAGCTAAAAAAAAAAAAAAAACGCTTTCGTCCCAGGACTTATCAAGTTTATTTTTCTGGGAATAGAAAATTTATAAAAGCGTGTAAATTAAATTAACGAATGGAATGGAATTTCAAGAAACTAGGGTCCAATAACATTCAGACCCAATAAGCATTCCCTCTGTTTACAAAAGGAAGGCCCACGGGATCTGATATACAAGGACACTAGAAGCTTGAGGCGAAATGTGGAGTGGGACCTAGTTAAATCAAAAAACGGTCCGCACTAAAATTAACCAGACATTTCCTACTATTTATTATATACTCAGCAATAGCAGAGCCAGAACTATTGGTTAGTTGGCTCTTCCTGGCAGACGGATTCGGAATCCTGGGCGCGGGTTAAGTGTTGCTTTATTCTCGAATCCAAACGCTGGGACGTCTTCCCTATGTAGTCGAGTCCACAGCTACTCTTACATTGGTAAATCATTGAATTAACATTATGGGGAGGGAGGATGGAAGAGAAAACAGAATGGGTAACAAATATTACACTAACATTCACCGAAAAATAACAGCTATTGATCAAACGTGAAATTCGTTTAAATAGCCTCTCACCCTCTGTACCAATATAGGGAATACGCAGATAAACTGGGCATTTATCAACACAATGCGGCTTAACCCTATGAAGTTTACTAATGACGTCTTGGATAACGGCGTCTAAAACATTCAAAGGATATCCGTTTTTAGATAGTGTCATTCTAACAAACTCAATTTCACCACAGAGAAGGCCATCAGAACATCACTTAAGTGCCCTATGAATTAAGGACTTAATCAAATTAACATTTCGTTGTCTGGGACAAAAATGTCCCAACGTGTATAAAGACGCGAGAAGGTAGCCTTCCTAAATACGGAAGTCTCAAATGATCTTATGGACAAGAACATCCAAAATGGAAAGACAAGAATTGGACTCCTTTTCTACGGTGAACTTAAGAGCGGGATGGACAGAGTTTAATTTGGTGAGAAACAAGTCGGCTTCAGCCTCATTATTAAAGAGGCACAAGGTATCATCCACATAACGATGATACATAAGAGGACGACCAATACAAGAAAATAAGGAAGCATCATGAAAACCGATAAAAATATTCGCCAACGCTGGACCCAAAGGCGAACCCATAGCTACCCCGTCAATCTGCCGATACATAATATTATTAAAACTAAATTCGACAAACGCAGTGGTGAACATCATAAGCTCCACAAATACACCCTCAGGAAAATCAGGAGACAAAGAGTTATGATACAATATATCGCAACAGATCTCAATAATCTCAGACAGGGGAACACAGGTAAACAATGGGCAGATATCAAAGGAACACATGAACCCACCATAAGTAGAAGAGTTACGTATAATTTCAACAAAGAGAAGGAATCTTTAATGCAATAAGTACTGAAGTGCGATAAAACTGGTTGTAGCTTTTTCGAGAGCCAACTAGCTACTTTATGGACAGAATTGATCGTAAAGGAACACCGTCCTTATGGATTTTAGGTAACCCATACAAACAGGGACGAATGGACCCAGTCGGTCTAATTAACTCTGAAATTTCAGAGGAGAGTAAACCACTATTGACCCATTTTAACAGTTGCCTTTGAAATTTAGATTCAATAGAGGCAGTACGATCATGGGTCTCTCCTGGACCTAATTTTAAGAACTTTGATGTAACACCAAGTATATTGTCCATCTTAGAAACATAATCCGAATAGTCCAGTAGAACAACACCAAAACTTTTATCAGGTTTAGTAATAACCAGGTTATAATTATTTAAAAATGTTTTAATTACCCGGCGGTGTTGTTCTTCCCATTTTGACTCTGATGAAGAAACAGTGGAGACAGCATAAGAATGGGCATAACTATTGAGTTTAGCCTTAAAGTCGATAAGAGATTCAACAGAACGAGGGACAAGTCTACAAACCTGTGCATATAAAACCTCAAACTCCGAAAAAAATTTCATGGATGCATGTTTGTTTTGTCCGTGTATTGATTAATATATTGAAATGTAATTGTCATCTTTGATAATGGCTTATGTAAGTCGAAAGCTTAGATAGGATTAAAAAAAAATGTATCAATATGGTGTTTTTCTTTCATCTTTCAATGATAATGTTATTAAGCTTATCAGACAATATGAAAAGACTTTACTTAAAATAAATAGACAAAACTTGTCTATATTATTTAATGAAACATGCACCCATGTATATATATATATATATATATATATATATATATATATATATATATATATATATATATATATATGGATGTATGTTTCATCCAAAATTCGCTTGAGGATGAAATGGAACTAATGTTTTTAATTTAATTACAAAATTAAATTTGAAGCTTTTAGCTTCCATTTTTGAACTTGGTTATTACTGTGTAGTGAAAACCCATATTTTAAATCAGTTAATTTATAATATATATATATATATATATATATATATATATATATATATATATATATATATATATATATATATACATGTAAAAAGTTCACATACCACATTCTAAAATGGATACAAATAACCACATTAAAGTTTAATAAATTTCGTATATGTAACCATTTTTTAAAGTTTATATGATATATAATTATGTTTTTTATAGATAATTTAATTGTATATATTCTTTTTCCTACTCGGTTGATTTTTTCCTGTATAATTTGAGAGATTTTAGTCCCTTTCAAATTTTTTATTACAAAATATGTCATGGCATTAAAATATTTATTCTTAAAACTTGTGGGCTGTGATCATATCAATTCCTATACATTTTATTCTCTATTGTTCATCCACTATAATTCCCAAGCGCTACTCATGGTAGACGGTTACTGAATGTCGCTGATTTTAGGATGTAGGTGGATAACATTTGTTATAAAGACGTTAAGATAGTAGTATTATGGGAATCATCAAATACGAAATCCGCTCCACAAAACAGAGACCTTTGAGATGCTGTCCAAATGGAACTTCCTTCTTACGAAATGAAATACGAAAAGAATGAGGATGGTTCTACCCGATGTGTTTTTGTTGTAAAGATCTGAACTGTTAGATTTAAGGTTTTTAGTTCGTCAGAACAATTTTCTTTGAAATAACAATAAAATATCAAGAGGGTCGTGACGTTTTCTTGGTAGGAAGTGTTGTAGGGTGGAAAATAATTCAACATATACAAGGCCGTATAAACTCTTTTGATATCTATCGAGGCTGGAAATCGAAGAATATGCAGCTCGAACAAAGATATAGCAGATTTTTAGTCTGATCTGTCTCTGGTAAATATAGATCAGGCCAGGTGGAATTATCTGGAGCGGTATACGGAACTGAAAATAAGTGAATCAATAAGTTCGTAGCCTAATGATGAAAAAAAAATTGAACTATTTATTTTTACCAAATTATGAACTTTCTCGACATTGCACTTAAAGCAAGCTTGTCAGGTAATCGGGCACAATAATCATGATGCAGAACAATCGTTCAAGATATATTGCAGCTGATATCAGAAAAATAACTTTCAAGCAATGGACTAACTGATTCGTCTAAGCGCTGCCGTATTTCTCTCTCTCTCTCTCTCTCTCTCTCTCTCTATCTATCTATCTATCTGTCTATCTGTCTCTGTGCGTTTTTTTGTCGACAGGTAAACATACGCAGGCGTACAAATTTATAAGCGATATCCGATTTTATTATGTAAGTAAATCTTTTCATAATCAATTTGGTATTGATCAACGAAGGGTGTTAGAAATATTCGAATATGTTTTATAATTTTTTGTTATTCATTTCCCCACAAGCAAGGCAATAAAGAACTATTACCCAAGGAATTATTGAATGTCAGAAAAAGAAAACATTATTAAGGACAGAGAACAATAAAGTAACAGAAATGAAGAAGACAGAAGATAAGGGTCAAACCCTTTGTCATCTAACGACTCCAACTGTTGTAATTTTAAATTAATTAAAATCACATTTACGTTTGAATGTGAAGGAAACAAATAAATCGATGCTTAGAATTTCTTTTAATACGATATACTTTCAGGATGTAAGCGATCACAGTTTACCACAGATTCGTTTCCTTTATAATCTGTGAATTGCCAAGACTTTTTTCGAGAAAACATGAAGAGGTTTCCTTTTGCCTTCTCCATGATTTGGTATTCAGTATAGACATTCTCAATAGACTGGCACCTAAAAATGGAAAGCTCTTTCTACTTTGGGAGATATGTCAAAATGGTTTTGATTCTCTCTGGACAGTTATGTATTCACTATAGTCTTTCTCCTAGACAAGCTGACAAGCGACTTAGATTTGTTGTTTAAACCGTAGAGGTGGGGAGAAGTGGAGTATTGATATCGTTTTATATGAAAATGATAGGCTGGGATTTGAAATCGGCTCAGTGAGTCCACTTTCCGCACACACGTAACAACAAATAACTTATAAAACTGTCATAATAAACTGTTAATACGAAGTTTATACTATTTACATTATTCGGACTACTGTTTTCATCTTGTCATCTATAACGTTTCGGACGTTGTACGCTCCAGCCTTCTTCAGGTGATTGGAATATCGAACTGAACCCTTTATTTCGCTCACTCGAGTAGATTGTTATAGTTCCACGTGCCATGTCTAATGGAGGTCAGTTGTCAATTATCTCCTGTTAATTCCCCTCTCCGAGTTATCCATTACCTTAACCAGGTATTGAAATCACACCCTTTGGGTCCTGTCACTGGATCTAACTGACGCCTTGAACCACTGTGACATGTGTCTTTGGGAACATATGTGTATGAATTTCTGGGTATTATACACCTAATGTCTTCACAAACATTTTTTTTACCAGTTCTCATATTGCAATTTTTGCTCTTATCGTTACTGTTATCCATTAGACATGGCACGTGGAACTAGAACAGTCTACCCCATTGAGCGAAATAGAGAGTACAATTCGACATTTCAACCACCAGAAGAAGGCCGGAGCGTACAGCGTCCGAAACGTTGTAATAATTATAGCGAAAAAGATGAAGATGATCGTTCGAATAATGTAAATAGTGTACATAATACCTCATCTCAGGAATAGAGATAGATACTGAAGAAGGTCAGAGCGTACAACGGCCGAAACGTTGTAAGAAACATGGCGGCAAAGATGAGGACAATATTCTGAATAATGTAAATAGTGTACATAATGCCTCATCTCAGAAATATAGACAGATACTGAAGAAGACCGGAGCGTACAACGGCCGATACATTGTAATAAATATGGCGACAAAGATGAGGACGATAGTCCGAATAATATAAATATTGTACATAAAACCTCATCTTAGATATATAGACAGATATTGAAGAAGGCCGGAGCGTACAACAGCCGAAACGTTGTAATAAATATGACGACAAAGATGAGGATGATAGTCCGAATAATGCAAATAGTGTACATAATACCTCATCTCAGAAATATAGACACGAAGTTTAAAACCTAATTTCTTCTTTTAGCAGTCAAAGTAAAAACAGGAAAATGTTTCAGCAAAGGTATTCCTGCTATGATATTCGTCAGCTAGTTATTGGTCGTATAAAAATCAGCGAAAGCTATAGATGATAAAAGTGTTCATAGTTATGAGTTTACTTGTTTCTTTTATTTCTCGTTCTATTTTGGTTTTCTTTGAACCTACTCATCTATGACTCCGTTTTGATTTATATCATCTCCATTTATCTTATCTCTACCGCTGTCTGCAGGAGGCATCACATGAAATGTCTGAGAAAATAAAAAATACAGAATTTATTCCCGTTTTTATATACGTCGCTCTTTTCGATGGATTGCTTTCTGTGAATGACATATTGTTTCGGAAACGTAGAAGTCAATCATTATGGCGATCTTTCACCGAAATATAAGTAAAGGTTCAACTAGGTTATTATTTATCAATAATTGTAGACATAAACTTCATGATTTTGCTGTTTGCTTTAAATATTTACCGTTACGAATGTGTGCTCATGATAACATTGGTCGAAAAACTGAAAACTCTACTTGACCTTTCGTCGTTTTTAATTCCCAACGAATAAAAAGAGATAAGTGATAAACACGCAAAGGTGGTCAGTTAAAAAGCATAAAAAATTGATCGATTTTATTTCTTATCGATATGTCTTCACGTCATCCTCGGTCAAAAATGTTCTTTATGAATTTGCTCCGCTCATCTTTATATCAAAATATTCTGATGGAAGAGGATATCTTTATAGTTTATTTAGTCCAGGAAAACGGTAAACATATCATTACTATATAAATTTAGCTCCTTGTATTCTTTCAAGACAGCTGCTGCTAATAAGTTCGGACGTAGTAAAAAAAACGAAAAAAACAGGTCACATGATATATCATTTATTGAACGATGAAAATATTTTATGCTCCATACTACAGAGTATATTTCTGTGAGCCCAAATCAAGTCAACTTCAACAGCCAGTAAGTCATTCCTACTAGCACCCCATACAGAGAGGAAAAAAAAAGACTTTTCTCGCTGTAACTTACACTACGAACTCCAAATAGAATCCTTATTTTCTACGAAACTGGGAAAATTAAATTATTTTGATTCTAGAAACACTGGGAATATATATATATATATATATATATATATATATATATATATATATATATATATATGTGTGTGTGTGTGTGTGTGTGTGTGTGTGTGTGTGTGTTTTGTCATTGCGTGTTAGGGTATTCATTTTTCCATTTGATTGATTTGAAAACTTGTTCGTTAATATGGTATATGAATGTCTTCCATTAAGAAGGACTTATCCAAAAAAGAAACAAATCTAGAAGCTAGTAGTTCCGCGAAGAGGACGCGGATAAATGCTGAAATATTAGTATATTATTTATTCATTTAAACTAAACAAGGAAATAAAGCCACTAAGACCCAAATGGTTACTGAGTGTGAAATAATACGTGGAAAAGAATAATATTAAGTCGAGAGAAAGATAAAAGAAAAGGAATTTAAAAAAAACAAAAACAGAATATAACGATTCACATTGCATTAGATTTTTGAAGATCAAAGTTGACTGGAAAGTAAGAAACCAGAAGAAAATTCCACAAGTGAGAAATGCGAGAGAAGAAACTGTCAGCATTGAACTTACGGTTAAATCTTGCAATTTGACGGTAAAATGATGGAATGTTGGTGCCAATCTAGTACCGCGTTTAAATTCGTAAAGCCGACGTACCATAGAAGAAAGCTTATCAGATCAATTACAATTAATGCGGTAGGAAAATGACTGAAGCTGAGATGACAGGTCATGACCGATAACATTGCAGATGCTTCTTTGGATTTTATCAAGAAATTCGAAATACAAATCAGAATCCTTAAACCTATGAATGAACGAATGATAAATTTATAAACGTAGAAGAAAAAATTTTCTTGCACGATACAGTGAAGCAAATTTCCTAGTAGCAGGCGTAGCATTTGATTCAATATAATCTTTTCATTTCATGTCATCGGGAAAAGTAAGGCCGAGAAGTCACAAGTAGTCATTCTCCTGGAGTATATTAATATCATTTTTTTTATTTAGCAGGCTATAAAGAAGTAATGTATAAAGTTTAAAGTGAGAAATTTAGCAATCTATATAATTTGCATAGTTATAAAAAAAAAATAGACATAAATTTTAATTCCAAGATGTGAAGAAAAGGGCGAAGACTGATTGGAAAACGAAATATAAGTGGAACAATAAATTATCATATACAGTATCAAAATAAATATGGGACAAGAATCATTCAAACAAGAATCATTCAAACAAGAAAATAAATTGCTGTGAAAATATCGTTAATTCAGTTCGGAAAATTAGCAAAATTATAGGTTGGTGTTCAAAACAAGATTTGCCTTAAATTTTGTATCGTCTTACATTTCTCTTAAACTATGTAACGCCTTAGATTTGTCATAATCTATGTAACGCCTTAGATTTGTCATAATCTATGTAACGCCTCAATGCTTACTTTAGAGATACAGAGATTAACCAACAGAAAATAGATTCACCAACGCAACAAAATATACAGAGCAAGAAGAGCCGATATCAAATTCCAGTCGACGTGACTGCATTCATTGTCGTACAAATACCTTATATAAAGTAAGAATTCGTCTCTTCTCCCTCCATTTATGGGTTAATTAGCAGAGGATACTGGGATTTTAGACATGATAATCACTCTTGAAAAAGAAAAACTCTGAATCGATTTGAAAATGGGGTTCCCTAAACCATCTACGACTTGCTATCGAAACCAAATCAGAAATGCCTAACATGCTGAGAGCTGAGGCCCATTGATTCTCAGGGAGTATACTGGAATTGAAGTGAGTGAGTGTGGGGCCTCAATTTGAAGCGAATAGCGCCGTTTCTAACATGTCTCGATCAAGGGCTGCATGTAATCTGCGGAGAGCATATTTTGGACAGTATTTTTCGACTAAATTTGAGGCTTGAGAATCGTTTAGAACTGTTCAAACAAAAGCAGAGTTGGAGAGTACAACGGAAACTGCTGGCTTTCATGATTCAATGAGACTCGACCTTCGGAAACAACCACTTGATAACAATTGAAAAATTCCTCCAGATAACATTATTGGACCAACAATAAAACTGATAAATCTTCAGCGCTCTTATGGAGAATCACTGTCACTTGGACATTTTCAAGAACATTCTT